ATCTAACCTATTTATCAATTACTAAAGTTTATTGCTTGGTATGGAATGCAAAAAATCCCGTATTTCCACAAAAAATCCCATTCGCCCTTTTTAGAAATAAAATCCCGAAAAAGGGCGAAATCCAGCAAACTGGCAACACTGGCTGTGTACAGTATTACCATGATGCAATAATACAAGGTGGTGTCAGTTGTGACAGCTCGATTTGANACGAAAAAGGGCGAAATCCAGCAAACTGGCAACACTGGCTGTGTACAGTATTGCCATGATGCAATAATACAAGGTGGTATCAGTTGTGACAGCTCGATTTGACACTGCCTTAGCTCAGTAAAATGAGAAGAGAAACGGGAAGAAATGAATCCCCATATGGGGGAAAAAAATTTCACATTTTCTCCTTAACAAAATTTGCTTTTTTATAGTATATTCGTTATGAAATGAAATAAAATAAGATAAAATACCTTTTTAAGAAAACAAAGTGTGTATACTGAGGAAAAATAAAAAACATTCAACTATATTAATGGGCAAAGAATGCATCATGCAGTATTGCAAGAATAAAAATTATCGTCGATGTTTTTGCAAAACCGCCCATCGACTAATTGCAAAACCGCTTATCTTACGGTACTCAAATTTTACAGGGGAGCGAAAAAACAGATTTTTTTTGAAGGCATTCCCTTGAGAGGTGGTATTTTCTCTGGCTATTATTTTACAAATCTGTTGTTTTAACAATGATTTTAGGATTTTTATCCATAAATCTCAGGGTTACNAGAGAAACGGGAAGAAATGAATCCCCATATGGGGGAAAAAAATTTCACATTTTCTCCTTAACAAAATTTGCTTTTTTATAGTATATTCGTTATGAAATGAAATAAAATAAGATAAAATACCTTTTTAAGAAAACAAAGTGTGTATACTGAGGAAAAATAAAAAACATTCAACTATATTAATGGGCAAAGAATGCATCATGCAGTATTGCAAGAATAAAAATTATCGTCGATGTTTTTGCAAAACCGCCCATCGACTAATTGCAAAACCGCTTATCTTACGGTACTCAAATTTTACAGGGGAGCGAAAAAACAGATTTTTTTTGAAGGCATTCCCTTGAGAGGTGGTATTTTCTCTGGCTATTATTTTACAAATCTGTTGTTTTAACAATGATTTTAGGATTTTTATCCATAAATCTCAGGGTTACCAAATCTAATATTTCCCACAACGGCGATTTAGGCGGTTCTGCAACTTGTCGATGGACGGTTTTGCAAAAATATCGACGATGTGTTTAGCTTTGCAATTTTTGGTTTTGCATATTTTTTATTTTTATATAGTAAAATATGTATTCAAATGGTAGTCAAAATACGAAATCGAAAAAATATTGCAAACGCCCAAGTCCACGGTACATGGAAACATAGGAAATTGAAATGGATTGTAAGCACTTGCGTCGTCTAAATTAGGACTAAAGTTCTCTACTATTTGTATACTTATGGTTGTAGTCTTCGCTAATGTGTGGATTTTAATGTTATTCTCAGAAGTTTTAATTAAAATCTTAGCTGTTCATTTAAAAATACTTTTATAAGTTTAGTTTATAAATAAAACATTGCTTCATCTCTGTAGAACTGCTTTCAAGTTTATAATTTAGTTTAACAAAATTCTGTGCATATTTCACCTGTGCCCGACAGATGAAATCCACACATCAAGTTCCAAAACACACCTGCTGCATGCAACACTGCGCTTACGAGCCGTTCCTATTTCGATTAGTGCGTTCAGTGTTGTTTTTGTGACAGCTGGAGTAGGTTGTTGATCGGTTTTCGTTTGCGGTGGCGGTGTTTTTTGCAAGTGGATTTTTGTAAATCTGAAAAGAAGAAAAATTTTGTAGCGCGCAGACTGCGATAAGTGCACGACTCATTTGAGTGAATGCTTATTTATATTACAAAATACATATGTGTAGTAATAATAAATGTAACGCATTTAGCCTAGACTAAACAGCAGTGGAAATCACAAGTCGGCTGCAAATAAATGTGCGCGCATATGTGAAAAAATTGCAAAGA